GTGAACACTTTATCGTCGGGTCCATTTAAAAGTCCTCTTTTGAAATATTAATGATCCTAAAGCAGCTATATTACAGTGCTGTGAAGCTGTGCTAAACAGATCTAAAATGTCTCCCATGCTTTTACTCTCAAGCGTGTTCTCTCCATTTTACCCAAAGTCTGTGTTATTTTTGGACTTCCCTAAGCCGTATAGCAGCTTTTATCAGCCTCTAGTTCTTTGGAATGGTAGGGCTCTTGACAATATTGCTCCTGGATAAATTAAACATGAGTTACGTGGAGTGATAATCCGTGGGCCTCTCTTTTCACACTGCATTCCCAATGAGCTGCGTGTTGGCCTGGTGTTGTTGCCTGTGATTTTAATGAAGATTATTCTTGTAACACGACAGTCGCCTGTTTGCTCCTATTCTCCCCCCAAGTTTCTTTCCTCTTCAAGTTGTGTTTTTTTGAGCAATATGTGCGGCATTTGTGTTTTATTTGAAAAGTGTTTTCGTTGAAGGTTAATCACCAGTTAATCACGGATATAATCGAGGATATTTAGGCACCGCCTTTCTCATGTTGATTAATGATAACAGGTTTTGAGAGCTGTTGTTTTAAGATTTCACATTATCGATTAAACAGCATGCTGAAGGACACGTCTTTGACTTTGAATTGGTAATGATTTTGATCCTGTCTAAGCAATGCAGGTTTAAATCAGAAAGGGCAAAGCTTGAGTCACTGGACTAAAGTCTTCTGCTTTCTATTGTTCAGCTTTATAGGCTGATGGTGCTCGGGTGAAACCTCGGAGGTTTATCAAAGGAGTAAGTGCACACTTCATGGCTACTGTTAAAATGGAACTGATGTTTTATAAATAATTTCAAAGTAACAAACATCAGCCTTGAAATCACAGCGGTTCAATGATATTCATTTGGCATAAGTCAGTTGCATTTATGTGTGCTTTTCATCAGAAATGGCTTAAAAAGTAGAGTTAGTGTGAATTTTTCATGCCATGGGCTTACTGGGGACAGTGGCCATGTTCCTCACTTCCAGACGGCTGACAGTGCATGGCAGCAGAAATAACAAAATGGTCACAAACCCCAACTGCACTCCCTGGGTCACACAGGCTCTTTAAAATTTAAAAGGGACTAGCAACAGAACCAAACAGTTGATAACGGGCCAGTAGCAGGTGATAAAAGAAGTTTTCGTAGGGACATTAGCCCTTCCGCTAACTTTGTGATTTCCAATGTTGTGTCCTCACCATTTGTTTAGCTACATAATAAACATCAGAGAGCACGAGGCAGTTGGAGGTATTCTCTAAGGGTCTGTAGTACCCAGAAGAATGCAATATTTCGCAAGTGCTACTTTCTTACATAATTGGTAGCAGACAAAATTCACACATTAATAATTATGCATAAAATTCTAAATTCCGTTGTTTTTTTAACCTTATTCAATTTTTTGAAGGGGCTGGCTCAATTTAGCAGTGTAGATAACTCATGCATTATCACATACTATCATTCTATCACGTGTTAATTGCCATAACTGACAGTAAGACGAAAAGATAGAAATGACATCAATGCCTTATTCTAGAGAAAATGGCACGTGTTTGTGTTTGCGACTGCAACAAATATTAAATAATGATACAAAAACAAAGCAAATGATACAATTTAAGTATAATATTTGGTATGAGATCATCAAACAATAAATGCGAATTAATGCAGAATTTCCATTTCTGTTTTGTCATTTGAGAAGAGAACAAATGAAGAGTGAACAGTGCAGAAATAGAGATACATTGTCAAGATTCATATATATATATATACAGTATGTAATAATATATTATTATAACAAAAACAATATATTCTAATAATAATTTTCTTACATCGTCCATATGTCTGTTTTGTCACTGCTCTATACTCAGGATAAAAAAGCACATGTATAAATATTTGTTTTGCGTGAATAGTCTCTAGAGTGCAGGCTCAGGTAGGTATTGGCTCATGAGCCGTGTCACTTGTATTTCCACTGAACATCACGATCACCTGTCCTGAGGGTAATTTGCTGTGAGGTTTGTGGTAAGGAATCAAGGTCGGGTCTGGACATCAATAATGAGCAGGTGTAGGAGTGCACTTCTGCCGAGACGTGTGTCTCGGTGTGTCCAGGGAGCGCTGCTAATAAGGGTTTAAAAGCCACAACTGTCCACTCCGCCCCTTTACAGGCCTCCAGCTGTCTTTTCTGTCAGAGAGCAGCCTGATTCCCTCCGACAGAGCAGATCACTGATGGCAATAAACCCCAGGGGGGGGGATAGTTGTGTCAACAAAGTACAAAGCCCCACCAAAACTAGATTAGATTAGCCATGCTAGTTAATTAAAGACTTATGGTAAATACAAGTTGTGTCTTGTTTTTTAATTTTTTTTTTTTTTCAAAACCAAAGAACCTTGAAGAAAGGAAGAAATACGTCACTTTGATTTATTGATGGAAATTGCAATGTGACGTCTGGCAAACAACATATAAATAACTTAAAGGCCATCTTAAATGCATTCCCATGAAATTTTTAGTGCCGCTGTAATATAAGCCACTACCTGTCATGAATCCCAAATAACCTTGGCTCTATCCTCTTAGTTCAGCCCAGTGTGCCTCATCCCTTATTACTGGCCTGACAAGGAAATGTTTACCCATCCGACAGGAGACAAGCCATTTCATAGTCGGAAAAAGCAATTTCACCTGACTGGAGTAGCACACAATGTCCCCATATCCTTGCCTGCTATAATTTTGTTGTCATTTTGTGTGCTGTGATCACATCATTGAAGTGACAGTGCTGGGCATTAGGTAAAGTCCCTTAGCCAGTGCTCACTTTCAGGCTTTTTCTCCCCTTGTCATTCACATTGATTAGATTAGACCCAGGTGGCAAGCAGCTTCTTTTGGCACAACAATAAAAAATGGTGATACAGCGGCTTGAGGAAAGAAGGATTTTCTTTTATGCTCAAGCGAACTCCAGCTGGTTTAAGGGGGAAAAGTATTTTTTATCATTAAATATTTTTGTATTGTCCGGATTATTGAGCGATTATTCCAAAGGATATCTTTCAAATGTGTTTGTTGCAATTTAATTTATCTTATTTTTGGCACATTGCCTACATTGACATATTGATGTGCTTTTTTTTTTGATTGAAATCTATTAAAACACAAGAATTCTGAAGTAAAAAGATAACAAGTAAATTTCATAGAGACCCATGCATTAACCTCATCTGGTCAATGGTGGGTGCAAGGAAGAGGGGAGAGATCCTAACACACTATGCTATCTCCCGCAGGGACATGGCTGGCCGGGCAAAACAAAACAGCCCCCCTCGTCCTCGGTTATGTCCACTAGCTTGATGAGCCAGAGAGAGAGAGAGAGAGAGAGAGAGAGAGAGAGAGAGAGAGAGAGAGAGAGAGAGAGAGAGAGAGAGAGATAGTCTGATAAACAGGCACCAGAGCACCTGGGGAAACGAAATGGAGATGCTGCACGGGTGATTCAACAAATGGTTTGTTCAGGGGAAAAAAAAGCGAGCCCGCTTTGCTTATTAAAGATCAGTGATGGAAGTGAACCATAATCCTGTAATGAGGAGAGCAGAGAGTGGCCTCTTTTGCGTGGGCACTGACAAGCCTGTGCTTGCATGTTTCACAGGAGTAGATAGCTGTACCGTATAGCTCTATACTGTAATGACCCGTCTTGTTAGCTTCAGAAATCCAAGGCAGTTCCTTGGAGATACGGACTTGTGGATGCACCATGTGGCCTTGATTGGTCTTCTCTCCTCGGTCTCGTTTAGCTCTGTGAGTTAGGAGGGTCTAACTAGAACAAAAGTTATTCAGTTGAGTGACAATTGTCAGCTTTTTTTGTGGCAGTCAGTGATGTTACACTGCAGCATACTCGATATTGACGTTTCTCATTTTTTGTCCACCCCCCCCTTTATACACACAGACGTTATGCAATGGAATAAATCTCCATAAAAAAATGTGTTGATTGAGCACCTCCAGCTCATTAGGGATGTATTGAGCTTCATTATTGTTCATTTCTACCCAATGAACCATATAAATCCAGTGCAAAAAAATTAACAAAGGCCTTGTAATATAACAGTGTCTCGTAGCACTTCACTTTATCAGTCTGTTATGTTTGTGTGTAAGTTAAGGCAGTGGCTACATGTGTGCTCTCTAGCTATTCTATATTTCATTGTGTTTTATGACGAAATTGTCAAAATCATCCTGACTGTTTCACTGCAGTGAAGACTTTTGGTCTGAAACATGATGAAATGTCTGTGGTTGCACATGTTCTCTTTTTTCTATGTACTTAAACATGTTTAAGTACATAGAAAAAATGTTTTTTTTTCGTATATCCTTCTTGGTTCATTATGCCAAGACTTAATATAAGTTAATTAGCCTCTAAAATGCGTTTTCTAAAAATACCAACATTTTTCAAAGATACTCCGTCACTCTCTGTGAGATACATTTTCCCTGTTATCAGTCCACTGGTTCATAACTTTAAGCCATTAAATATTCATCAGCACTGGGACTCATAAACACATCTTCAGTGGGACGCCATGATTTCACGCTATACCACAAACATTTTAAGGCATCAGATGCACTGCCTGTCATGGACTGTCATTTTTGGCGTGTTAATAATACATTTTGGCTTTTTCGGCAGACATACTTTGGCACTCATAGCGCATAAATAGGTAAATAACGCGGAAAAATAGGTAAATAATGCCGCCTCCAATCTTTATAACCCCCATATATTTTTCTTTCATATTCACTAAGAGAAACTTCTCTGAGTCCATATGTTTAAATGAAAAAAAAAACATCACTTTGTTCACAGCGCTCCTCGATTTCTAATTAAGAGCTGTCTAATTAAATTACTGCCTTGAGTTAACCAATGGCAGCGCTTGTTTCATTAGCAAAGAGGAGAGAGTGATGGAAAGAAAATCCTTCCTGATTGCAGGATGGTGTCAATTGGCTAATTTGCTGCCTTCGCCACAAGTCATAGCAGGGCGTTTTTTAGCACTAGATTAGGAAAGGCGCGTGCAAAAGCTTGCGATATAGATTGAGCAAATAGTGGCTTCCTATCGAGCTATGCAGGTCGAGAATTGCATCTCGCCAGCGAGTGATCTCTCCAAGAAATGTATGAATGTGGGCAGTGGCTTTTCCAGCGCCGACGGATCAGAGCTTTCACTACGGGACCATCCTATTATATCCGCAAGTGACAACCTGGAGAGAAGTTCACCTCTGAAAAAAAACTCTAGGGAGATGACGAATCAGTCAGAGGCAGACGATTTTCCTGACTCCAAGGACGCATCGGGGGACGTCCAGAGGGGCAAACTCTCTCCTGGTCTACTCGGAGTCTCTGACATCCGTCATAATTTCGATGGATCTGCAGGAGAAAGGTGCATCTTTTCTCCATCTACCCAGCCACAGTCAGTCTCAGCAGCTCCCGGTGCCATGTTCCCGTACCCGACCCAGCATGGACCAGCGCACCCGGCTTTTTCGATCGGAAGTCCCAGCCGCTACATGGCCCATCACCCGGTCATAACTAACGGAGCGTACAACAGCCTTCTGACCAACACGTCCCCGCAAGGCTACCCGGCGGCGGGCTACCCGTACGCGCAGCAGTACGGGCACACTTACCAGGGAGGGGCTTTTTACCAGTTCTCCACGGCACAAGCGGGACTGATTCCGGGGAAAGCGCAGGTGTATTTGTGCAACAGGGCCCTGTGGCTGAAGTTCCACAGGCACCAAACGGAGATGATCATCACGAAGCAAGGACGGTAAGTGCACGAATGCGGGCTTTTCTTTTGTAAACTTGCAGATTTATGTAGGTTAACATCAAATACCTGTTTCAGAACCATGAAAAGAAAACGAACTCAAGGCCAAACATGTGGTGATCTCGGCTGATTTTTGTGCCTTTTTTTAGCCGTCGGAGGCGTTTAATGAATTTGTCATCCTTTATTTTCCGCAGACGAATGTTCCCATTTTTAAGCTTCAACATTTCTGGCCTTGACCCAACTGCTCACTACAATATATTTGTGGATGTAATACTTGCCGATCCAAATCACTGGCGATTTCAAGGAGGAAAGTGGGTGCCATGTGGAAAGGCAGACACAAATGTGACAGGTACACTATTACTGATTTGTTCCTAAATGTATTGCAATCGATATGATTAATTCGATAGTATAACCTTTTTTTGGTTTGTAATATTTTGACCCGAATATGTTGTTTATCATTTAATTGTTTTAAAATTTGGACAACGAATTTATTTAAAAATATTTCTCATGTTTTAAACCTTTGTATTTTTACGTATTGTTTTTAGGAAATAGGGTTTACATGCACCCGGATTCGCCCAATACCGGAGCGCACTGGATGCGTCAAGAAATATCCTTTGGAAAGCTAAAGCTCACCAACAACAAAGGTGCCTCCAACAACACAGGACAGGTAATGTAACATAATAACCAATTATTCAATAACAAACAGTACATAATATAGTTTATATTTTTATTGTAACAGCAGATGGCATAAATCGGACGATTTTTCGATGTCACCTTTCTGTCATCTCGACTGAATAGCCTTACTATTATTTGTCATTTGGACGTTGTTTTACTGCCTTGCTGGCATCATCTACAGCCCAACAGCATGTGCAACGATGGTAAAATTAAGATAACAAATTCATATTCAAGTTAAAACTGGTTACGCCTTGTGCTTTAGCCATCCATCCAAAGTTTGATGCCGAGTTTCTGACGTGCTTGCATCTCCAGATGGTGGTTCTGCAGTCTCTCCACAAGTACCAGCCCAGGCTCCATGTGGTGGAAGTAAACGAGGACGGGACAGAGGACACCAGCCAGCCAGGAAGAGTCCAGACTTTCACCTTCACAGAGACGCAATTCATCGCCGTCACAGCTTACCAGAACACCGACGTACGATCACTTCTGAATCCACGCAACACAGCAGAAGGCTCCTTTGTTCATTTGAACAGATCGGAGCTCATCCTCACAAATAAAACCAATTCTCTGAATTTTCAAATTTTTTTTTTACTTATTTATTTTATAACAAATTAGAAATACGTAGAATTGAATTTAATCAAGAAAATACACATGGCAATTATTTCTGTTTATGACGCAGTCCGCTTATCGCCAAACACGGGCTGTTTTTTTGATATCGTGCATTATTTTTTCACAGATTACGCAACTGAAAATCGATCACAATCCGTTTGCTAAAGGATTTCGGGACAATTACGACACGTAAGTTTTCTTTGATTATCGGTGGTTTGGCCCTTCCATTCGATTGCAAGTCTTTTTTTTTTTTAGGCCATATCGTTTTTTGGCATGTTGCTGTAAGGCTTTGGGTTATTAACCTTTAATGCACTGGTATAATCTTGCTGATAAATGTTTTCAACAGATAGATCCAATTCAGAGGGAAGGAGAAGAGAATGAAAAATAAGCGTTTTAATTGACGACAGCTAAAGAGACGCATCTTCAATTGAACAGACGTGATACAAATGAGAAAAACGATCCGTCAAAATATTCGTTCAGATTGTTCGATACATTTTTCTTAATGTAAAAGTGTAAAATAACGAATATTTGACCCGTAAAATTCAGAAAGTAAAACAACTAAGCGAGGCAACATTTTTCTGACAACGGTTGCATTGCATGGTTTTATACATATTTTTACAACCATGCAATTCTCCCTAAAATGGCAGAAGTCCTTTCCCCACATGCCGAGTGTATCGTACATTTCTTTGATTTCAGTGCACGTCGCAGTCACTGAATTGTCTCCCCGGTTTTCCTCTCTCCCGTCTTTTCAGTGTCTACACAGGCTGCGACATCGACCGCCTAACTCCATCACCGGGTGACTCTCCGCGTTCACAGATCGTGCCGGGTGCGAGATATGCCATGCCTAGCTCTTTCCTGCAGGACCAATTTGTCAGCACTTATGCCAAATCTCGCTTTCACCCTGGCGTGGGGACCGGCCCTGGCACGGAGCGCAGCGTCCCACTCGGCAACAGCTTGCTCTCCCCGCAGCAAACCGACGAGCCCACTGTTGCCACCCCCCCGCAGCGATGGTTTGTCACCCCTGCCAACAACCGACTGGACTTTGCTGCCTCGGCATACGACGCCGCCGATTTCGCCGGCAACGCGGCCACCTTGCTGTCCTACGCAGCGGCCGGAGTGAAGGCTCTTCCCCTGCCGACTGCAGGCTGCTCCAACCGGGCCCTTGGCTATTACGCGGACCCGTCGGGCTGGGGAGGACGCACGCCGCCGCAGTACTGCGGCGTCAACAGCAAATCCAGCCCGGTCTTTTCCTGCTGGCCCGCAAACTCTATCGGTGGCAGAGCAGGCACCAACTACCTGGCCGAGGAGGGGGACTCCATCACGACGGAGAGGTCGCCGATCGTCGGCTCGGACGAGAGCAAAGCCAAAGACATGACGTCCGAGTCGAGCTGGATAGAGACGCCGTCCTCCATTAAGTCAATTGATTCAAGCGATTCTGGTATCTTTGAACAGGCTAAGAGGAGAAGGATCTCACCTTCTGCCACGCCGGTTTCTGAGACAGTGTCCCCGTTAAAGTCTGAGCTGCTGGCACCGAGAGAGTGTGAGAAAAACTGCACAAAGGACATTGGTTATTACAGTTTCTACCCTCACAGTTAAAACAACAGAACAACGTGTGCATTTCTATCTATCTATCTATCTATCTATCTATCTATCTATCTATCTATCTATCTATCTATCTATCTATCTATCTATCTATCTATCTATCTATCTATCTATCTATCTATCTATCTATCTATCTATCTATCTATCTATTAATCAATTTCAAATGAAAAAGAAGGACTGACACCTCCACAGTTAATGGCCAAAGTGTAAATTCTTCCATGGCTTGGGCACCTTGTTTCCAGAAAACACTGTAATTGTGAAATAGTGTATATAACATTGAGCATTTGGTGATAGTGATTGAATGTGAACAGAATAGATAAAATCCAAGTAAATAGTGTTTTAAAACAATCTTCTGTTGAATAGCCTAGTACACTAAAATATCGAAAACCTTGTACAATAAATGTTATTGTGTAGCATATTGACATATTAATCCCTGTCAGTAAAAAAAATGTATTTTGTACTTTATCGGTGTAGGCTACCAAAGGTTTACGAGGATCCTACATTCATGATACATGTGGTTGCAATGTTGGTAAAGTAGACTAAGTATTTTCTTTCAGTCGTTTTTTGTCATGGCCTGTATGCTGTGATGTTGTGAAAATCTCTGTATCTACTGTAACGTGATTGAAACATAATAAATTAAGTTATTATCAGGACAACCAATCCCGTCAATGTGTTTAATAATACCATCCGTGTCATTTCGTAACCACAATTCAAAGTTGGTAATCAATGGCATCACCTGATATTTGGATGATTCAATTTTGCAGCAGCATTTGTTTAAAAGGACCTTGTGTGCCAATCTACGAGGGTGACAACAGCAGAAAAAGTTGTGAAGTCACCAAGTCTTCTTCGGCCAGAGGAAGTGACACATTCAAATTGTGCCTGCAGAAATGTGTGAGGACCATAAGGACCAGACCAAGACGGGGGTACGGATACAATCAAGTAAAATATGCTTTGTCTTTTGTATGTTTTACTATTATTTACACTGCAGATTGATTTGTTGATTGGTGCCGATCGAGTGAATTGGTCCTCTGTGCCTTTATGAAACATCCCTAAGGCGCACAAAAACACCTCTATCGAATTAATGAAGTAAAAAAAAAAAAAAAAATCAAAATGAAAGATGATTTATTTGGAATCTTGGTGTGAAAAATAAGCACACAGCTTTCGGTGAGATCGTCTTATCTTGTGTGTGCGCGTGTTTCTAATTGACAGTCAGCGAAAGACTTTCCCAGAAATAAACAGTAGATGGCGATAACTGCAGGTCCTGTATTCAAACTGCTTCTCATAGGTTGTCTCTTTAGGAGGTCAATTCAGACCCGAGGAAGATTAAAGACATTCCAACTATTATCATGTTGTGGTAAATGATAATTGGTCATTTAAGGGACTGTGAAACGGAGATATTACCATTATATCAGCTCAAGGAATCTTCTAAACAGCACAGGACAATATAGTTTCAGCTGCAACTTTCCAACAGAGAGTTAAACAATCACCCTAAAAATAAACAAGTTAAACTAAGGTCAAATAAAAATAATATAAAACACGCATGGTCATGTAGCCGATAGACCAAGTTTGGTCTATTTGATATCTCTCAAGTTCAGTTACTTTAATTCATTTTTTTTGGGGGGGGGGGGGGGGGTCCTCTGTGTTTATCCATAGCTATGGCAAGATTGCTGCAGAGGGTGTGTCTAAAAAGAATTTGAACCAATTGCTGGTTAAATAAAAAAATGTATGACCTACAATTTAGCCAATCAGTGTCATTTAGTTGAGCCTCAGCTTGGGGCAACATTGGTTTTGCCCCAAGCTTTCGCATTCCGGTGGTTTTGCATTAAATCAACCTGGGAAGTTTGAGGAAATATGTATTCCTTATATATGTTATATGTATGGAAATATGTATGACATCATTTAGAACATTTTACACCAATCCGCCACAGTCAACATGCTATAAAACAGACCTCTTCTAACAATATCTTTTAATACATCAATGTTATTTAATATAACAAACTAATTTCAACTCAATTAGGATAGAAGAATGAGCGAGACACATGGATCATGGGGGGAAACATCTTCTGCTATAACAGTTCCGCTTATGCCGCAGCCCGACAACAACACACCGTTACATAACTTAACAAAACAAAGAGCACTCCACCCCTTAAAACGTGCTCTCTCACCTCCGCGTCTAAACAAAGGCTCGACCGAGTAAGAGCGACGCGTCCACGCCAGCTGGCAGAGACGCGCATGTTGGCGAGACCGAGGACAGCGCGAGAGGCGCAAACAACCACCTCGAGCGGACGAACACGTGACCGCCGCCCGGTCGCTCGGTAACTGCGGCACCTGCCCGGATTCTGTGCGTCGGCAGGTCGCCGCTCCATCGCTCCACCGCGCGGGGACACATCCGAGAGAGGAAGATGGACACCGCGGACCGAGGTGCTCAGATAGAGCCGCTGCTGCCGGTAAAAAACAAACAAACAAACACAGCCCTGATCTCTTGGGACATCTGACCTCATGTATCGATTAATATTTCAGAACGCATTTCATCGAGACCGTCAAGCTTAATCTATGTGTTGAATGTACTGAAGACAACAATGTAGTTATTACAAATGCAGGAGGATGATATTTGTTTAAATGTTAAAATCTTTTCCGTAGCTTAACCTGTGGAGCTTGTCTCTCTCATAGAGAGAGGAGTGACATTGTGATATTACCGATGAAGCCATTTGTTCAATGTACTTCTTAGTGAGCTGAATGTGACTCACTGTTGCCTTGACTTAAAAGTGAACTTCTGCATTGAAACAGGCACTACCAGGAGGCTTAATGTGTCTGTGTGATGCTATTTTATGATAGATTATAACATAGGCTGCAGGGATTACGGTAAGGGATGTTACATTGCGCTATATGATTAATCTCTGTTGGGGCAGATGTGCGATTAATTCAAAAAATGCAGAGGTGACCTTGTGACATCGTAAGTTGATTACATTTTTTTCTTCTAATGGTGATGTTCTGACAAAATATGTACAAATGCACACTCAGGCAGCTATAGGGCACAGAAACACGTGCAAACTCTTCCTACGAGTATCTTGGGAGGAAATGTTCTTTTAATAAAATTCTATTCCGATAAAAGAATTCTCTCAGGGTTTGTCCACGCGAAGGGTCAATCCCCATCGGTCCTTGCTGACCACTTTGCAGGAGATTTGTTGTCGTTGTACATGTGCTGTTTACATTAAATAATATTTTCCATCTAAAGGCTTTAGACTGACTGAGCTTCTTTGCTCGGGTAGAGCCAGTAGAGGCTTTCATTTCAAAAGGCTACATCTGCCCTTAAACTCACTTTGCGTTTTTTAAAAAAAATAATCTAAAAATAATATTTCAGAATTAATCTTAATCTGATTTGGAGCAGCACATGTCTGAGTATAGAGTGTTTCCAGTTGCTGAATAAACGCGGCCAAACTAAAGTGATGATTGTTTTTTCTTTCAGGTCATTTCATCCTTTGGCTCATCAGTTGGGCGCAGAAGTTTGGTGAGTTATAGTCCCTTTGGCTTCTAGACAATGTGTTAAACATACATACACAATGTACCTTTTTTTTTTAAGATCTAAATCTCACATGTAAGAAAACTAAAACCTTTTGGGAGACACCAAATTCTTTTGACGTGACATACATTGTTGAAATGCTGCTGGGCAGCGGCGATGATGTCACCGCTATAATCTCACGACGAGAGACCGTCGATAGATGCTCACAAATTACAGCTGTTTGGCCCGACAGAAGGGCGTGGGAGTCTATCAGGCATGGTGTGAGCAGGGCAGCAGGCGTTAGCACTGCAGAGCTCAGGGACTGTGCCGCACTAGAGAGGACACAGCGGGAGGGCTCATGCATTCTAAAAACTTGGAGGCTCCTCCGCTCTTCAAATACCAGGTAGGACCAGCGTTCTTTTTGGGGGGGGGGGATTGAGGAAATGCTCAGATTGTTATGTGGTTAAGAGAGGGCAAGATTTGTTGAGACATTTTGTAGAAAAGGACCTCTGCCTAGAGCGTTGGCAAAAATGTCTAAAACAGTTTTCTCCTGGTGACCACTTCTGATCCATTTTGCAGCTTGGAGATGAGTGCAGACACTCCGTCGGCCAAAAACGAGTGTTCAAAACTGTAAAACACCTTAAATAGCATCTCTGGAAGAAATGTTACAATTACAGAAATTACAGAATGTTGCCGTTCATAGCAGAAACATTTAAGGATTACAGCGTTTTTTTTGCCTCATGAAAGCCTGCGGAGTTAACGATATTTCTGCCACTGATGGTTCCAAAATTGCCACAGCCATCTGTAGGGATCAGATCCAAGTATGTGCCACATCCCGTGATATCACTTCAGCTGTGTGGTGTGTCAGCCCTTGAATGTAACATTATTTTGTTGGTGGATTCATGATTTTCACTTTAAAAGACAGACTTATTTGGATTCTTGTTTTTCGGCAGAACCTTTTTTGTCCATAGAACTGAGATATTGATATCTGATCTTTTTATAATCGTGTCTGAATTAGTAGACCAATCTGTCAGCATGTGTTAACATGCTATTATCTATTTGTCCAATTAACCCCCATATTACAGTCAGTTAATCTAACATCCATAATGCAACCAAAACACTTGATACACATCTCAGGAGCAACGATTGTAACTGAACACTGACAACATTTGTCTCCATACAGTGTTGTTTTAATTTATATTGCACACATTTCATTTCATTTTTTTTCTTTTACAACCTGCTCAGTTTTGCACTTTTCCTCGTCACCTCATTTCTGCCTTATCCTTACCTCATTTTTTATTTCATGTACATTTATGTAAATATTGTATTCTTATTCTTATTTTTATTTTAAAATTGGTCGGCTTTCCGGAAAGGCAAGTACAATAATTTCAATACACAGGGTGTAAACAATGTGTAAATGACAATAATATCTTTGAATTGAATTGAATTGAATTTCAGCATGTGGCATTACAATATATATCAATATATGTAACTTCTCTATTTACTTATCAAATTAAGATAGCATTACAACCAAAGGTCTCTTCTTTATTGCATTGGTTGTGTGGCTTTAAGGTATAAGTCCCATGAATGAATCAGAAATGCTTAACATATATCAGTAGACTTTCTCATGTCGCCATTTGGCATGTAGAGTAATTTCTGAGTGCACAAACAGAAACTAAAAATAAAACTTTACATATTCACTGTTTAGCAAGAGATAACAATGAGACAACAATGCCACCATGTCTTCTGCATTTGGCAAAGCAATTTGGAATAATTAACGTTTCACCGTCACCAGAAACAACATACCCTTTGCAGGGTTGTGGGAGGGAGGGTGAGGTGGAGGGACATAGGACCCTACAGGGAAACGTCACTTCCCGTGCGGTTACAAAAGCCACCCTTTCCCTAAACGTAAATTCAGTTCTGAGAAATACACGTTACCAATTGTACAAAACGGAAAAGCAGTCTTTACAAACAGTAAAAGTGATGCGTTTTTAACATGAGATAACATGTCTGCTGTGATGTCTGTCAATTTAATCCCATGTGGATCCGTGCCCTGCGTTTCTGTAGACAGATTATCAACATCAGCCTGGTGGCCGAGCCCGTGTGTCGCTGCAGCCATGAACAGCAGTGCCGTTCATTATCATAATGCCTCGATGTCAACGGGTGTTCAAGGTGGTTTGGTGAAAAGCTGATATCCAGCAAGGGTTCATGGTTTCTACTGTAATAAGTGTTTTTCATCTGTAGATGATTTCTAGTGGAAATGATTGATTCTGTTTCCCAGCTGTTGTGCATAAAAGCTGTCTGCGAGCTGTGTCTGTTTCCGACTGTCGACCTCCTTGACTCAATTTCAGTTTTTCAAGTTGGGTATAGAACGAGCAGGCGCTTTGGTACGCATAATCGCATTGCACGTGTTCATCCAAGTCGACAATAACAAAGACATAGCATTAACAGCGTTTAGCTGTTTAACATGCTCACGCGTAGCAGAGCACATTTGCATTTGCACAAGTAGGCAAATTAGGCATAAACTGACATTGTTCATGAGACAACGCGAACAATGTCACTTAAATGATTCTGTGCGCACGGACCAATAACAGCAATACAGTTGTTTTTCTCTTAAGTCGAATGGTGCATCACTCATGTCTGACATATTATGGCAATAAATGTTTCCTGATTCCTGATATTGTTCAACACTATTTGCATAATGTAGGATGTTTGGTGAATATTTGCAATAGTAATGGTGGATTTCTTTAGTGACAATTGGAAAAGCTGTTCATGGTCCATAAAGGATCTGCCTTTGTACGTCTGATGAGCCTGACTTTGTCAAGTAGCATTGATGAATCACAGTTTAATTTGTTCACAGTTTAAGTGACTGAAAAATATTTTTTATAAATAACCACCTAAAACTCAATTTAACTGTTTGCACAAGCGTGAGCAGGCAGAGGCTACAAAATGCTGCTTCTCTTAGTGGGTGATTTATCAATGCTTCTCCTCTGCCATTCAGTATTCTCTCTTGTAATCTGTTAAAAGCGCTGCATTGAGGATTACATTGCTTTAGAAAGGCAGGTTTTCTGTCCCTTTGTATATCAATGTCTGTTAAGAGAAACAGATTTTGGATAATCTCCATCTGGACGCGTATCATAAATTGCTTGTCTGTTGCAGTGAGAATTATTAACATAAAATCAAGGCTCATACTTGTGAACCTGTTTAATTCATTTGGAATGCATTGAGTTTGATCTCTCTTCTCAAATAACATGTTTAATGTATTGTTGTAATTGGACACGTGTTGGTGGACGATGAAAAAAAAGTATTTTTAAAAAAGCCTCATGAGGAGATTAGAAACGTACCAATGTTGTTAAGTAGTTATTTACTACTTGAAACGTATTCAAGATAGTTGTGAATCTCATAAAGCGAGACAGTGGTGATGTTCCAGTTCCAGTTTAGATGAGATACTGTTCGACCCTTGTGATGCTGAGTCCTGTTTATAGTGTTAAATATACTTTTTTTTCTGGGTTCATACCAACAGAGGAATGATGATGAGGCGGTGGTGGACCGAGGAGGATCGCGGTCCCAGCAGGGCACCATCTTTGGCGAGGAGGATCTTGAAGGTACCTGGACTGCATTGAATGCACCTGGAATATAAGCAGCTTCAAGCAGCGCAGTCCGCCCACCCTGTCCTTAAAACGTCTGCTCGCCTCTTGACAGCGTTTTCATAGTCAAAAGAGCAGAGTGGGAGGTAGAAACAGTGGGTGAGATGAGTTTGCCGCTGAAATTTCATTTCACGGGCAATCAAAACAGGATTTCGCAGGAGGATTGTGTAACTTTGGCTGACTGTAAGACAGCAGCAATTGACCCTCTTACCAGTCAAATTACGAAGCTTCAGTTTTTTAGTTTAAACTACATTTTTTGTAATCTTTATCTTTAAGATAATCATAAACCACTGAAGTCATGGATCAGCTGTGGTGTTAATGCAGGTGGCCTTTATGTATAGTAAAACACTGTGTGGATACTGTGCATCTCATGCATGGCTGGTGTGCCTGTGCATCACTTTGCTTCAGTAGGTTTGGAAGAACTTCGCCTTAGTACGTAAACTTTAACCGTAACAGATTATTTTATCAGTTTATTGTATGGCGCCTGTTTGCAATTTGTTCCAAGAGCTCAGCAGCAAAAACCTCAAACTCAAAAAACATATTTAAAAATAACAATTTAGCCAGATCTTTACTTTTTGAAATTTTGAATATACTAAAAATTAAGTTAAAACGTGTGTCATTAACGGACACAATGTCTTCATGGATAATGGCTTTGATTTAAGTTTAAAAAAAAATGAAGCAATCGTTTTTCAAAGGCAGGGTACATTAATTGATGCCTTGTGTCATGCACATACAGTGTACCTGTCGATGTTCCAAACATTGTGCAGGACTGTGTATGGTTGTCTGAATCTTCACGTGATACTGCGCTGAACTGAGTGGGCTGACTTACAAGAGCAAACACAGACGTTCTTCTCTCTCACTCACGCTGTCTCATACCAGCACGAACACAAACATGGACATACATACATAGCAGTGCAGCACCGAGAAGGTATGGACGTGAATTAACACCCAGGCAACACAAATGTACACAGCCGTGACTTTGAGTATACATGCACAGTAATTTACAAACAAGGGCAGTAGATACAAACACATATTCGTCATTATTGTATAATTTTACACATACTCGAACTGTGTTCACACTTTCCTTGTCAAAGTCTATAATTTAAGTCAACATATACTCACACTGTATGAATTCCAAACAAAGAATATTTCCCTGATACTTCCCTGTGTTTCAATTGTCATTAAAATGATTTGCACCTGCTGGTCCAAAAAATGTTTAGACGTTTCTCAGTTGAACTCTTAATCATTGTATTCATTATTTAGAGATGACTTATTTCGAGTGGAGACAAGGTGAAGATGAGATGAGAAGATTATTCGTGAAGACGGATAAAGAAAGCTTTTTCTGATAATGTTGTAATGTACAACCAGCCGCAATATGTGTTATTAACTAGCTGCTCAATAGAGCACGGCCCATTCGGTGAGTATCATATCGTTACACATCTTTGAGCGATGCACTTCACCGCGGCAAAAACACTACGGATGTGAAAAAGATTCTGTATGAATAATTTACAGCTCAATGGCCAATGATCATAGCGATCAGTTAAATCATGATGGTCATCTGTGCAGACACACACACACACACAGGCCGGGCATGTTGCTGTCCTCTAAACACTGTGCGATGTGTCCTTAGGCCACAGGACGCTCTACATCGGTGTCCACGTGCCCTTGGGCAGTACCAGGCGCCGCAGCCACCGCAGGCACCACGGGAGCAAACACCGGAGAAGGAGCAGGGACCGGGCCCCCTCCTTGGTGGAGGGGAGAGAGTCTCCCGTTTATGGTGCCGGATACAATCATGTGCATTACTGCAAAACGTTTGTATTTATTTGCTAACTTGAGATACTTAGCATGAAACATTTCAATCTGAATCGCTTGTGTTCGCAGACACTCCCTCCCAGAGAGTCCAGTTCCTGCTGGGCACCGAGGATGATGATGAGGAGCATACTCCTCATGACCTCTTCACGGAGATGGATGAAATCTGCGTGCGCAACGGAGAAGATCCTGAGTGGAGGGAAAGCGCCAGGTACCGTTGGACTGTCCTGCCGTCAACGCACGCTGTGGGGGTCTGAACCTCTCAGAACTAAAGGAATTGCTTGTTCCCCCGCCGCCGGCAGGGGACGGAAAGTCAAAAATAATTCAATAACTAACAGAAGCAACACGGTCACAAAAAGTCAAATGCAGTGGGAATAATGTAACATTTCGCGAAACAGTGAAATCCCTTGTTGTCTTTGTAAAATTCCTTCCTGCCTTTGGGCATTTCATGCCTCTCTCCCCTGGCTTCATCTGATGTCCGGATCTGAAATCCCTCACTGACCTGCCCAATCCCTATTCGCTTAATATCACAATACATTCCAGGAAAAAAACCTTTTGGTCTAAAGCTTCTCCATGGAAACACAACACAAGAGAAAAAACTTGCAAAAAGGGGGAAAATATGGAGGAAATCTGTCAAGGAAGGTTTAAGCATCTTTCTCCAGGCATTACTTTACATTTTGGCCGGATGTCATATGTACAGTATTTAAATGACATATAAATAGTGTTTAATTCATATTGCAGTTATTAATCTAACAAACTAATATAATACCTTATGTCTAATAATAAAAAAACTATAATTCTGACGTTATGATCACACATATTGTTATTTCTACCGCTAGGCGGGCTCTTCTGCTTAAACTCCTAACAACACACACACAGTCGTGACCTACATGTCGTCACTTAAAGCCCCGATTGAATCATGAACATGCTCCAGTTACACTAATTAGAACTATAGCTGTGTGTCTAATGTTTATGTTTCCGTTACAACGCGTCAGCACAATTCCTTGTTATTATTGCTAAAAAACAACCTTTTTGTTACATTTTGTCATTGATAATTGTCAATGTTAACTAAGATGCAGAACTTATTAATTAACTTATTATTAATTTCTAACAGACACATTTCATATCATGATACCCTGATGCGAGGCAATAGGGACGGGAATTAAGTAAGTGTTGTTCTTGCAGCCCGAACAGATGGCCGGCATGTTTGCCTTCTGCTGGCTTCTCTCCTTACTGCTACTCAAACTCCCGTTACAGGTGGCTGAAGTTCGAGGAGGACGTGGAGGACGGAGGGGAGCGATGGAGTAAACCCTACGTAGCCACTCTGTCTCTGCACAGCCTGTTTGAGCTGCGAAGCTGCATCATGAACAGCACCGTGCTTCTCGACATGAGGGCTGATACCCTTGAAGAGATCGCAGGTAACTGATGTAACGACACAGCAGCAGGTGACAAATACACACAAATACGTTTTGCACGTTATTGAGTTAACTGGCTTGACCTGTATGTATGAGGGGATACTTTGTGCACTGAGGAGGAAGTTGCTTTTGACCTTGTGCCCCTTATGTCTGTTTGATGTTTTAAATCGGGGACGATAATATTGATGCTCTAATCAAGTTCCCGTTGCTCTTAGCTGGGAACTAAAAAGCCTGTCTGTGTCTGCCTCAGACATGGTCTTGGACCACCAGGATTTGTTCTCACCGCTGGGAGACGAGCTCAGAAAGAGGGTGCGAGAGACGCTGCTGAAGCAGCACCATCACCAGAACCAGAAGAAGCTGGCCAATCGCCTGCCGATTGTCCGCTCCATCGCTGACATGGGGCGGGTGGACAAGAATGGTGAGAAGAACGCAACTGTATGTAAACATACAAAATAAAATATTCTGATGAGAGAAAGTCTGCAGGTGAGCTGGTCACGACACGGCATCCATAGCATAATGTGAGAGACCTGTCCTGGAATTCACTGCTTTACTGGGTTTTATACTAAATGTGAACAGTGGTGTTTAACTTGAGATACTTTGCAAATGTGCAATATGTGTGCGCGTGTGTGTGTGTGTCTCATATGCATATGGTCTCGACTTGCGTATGCTCTATCGTCTCCTTATTACGATTCTATCCACCACCCACCATCTGCCCACCCACCTGCCGCAGCACCGCTGACGTCAACAGGGGCTGGATATGCAGTATTTCCTTGCACCTTTAGCAGCTTCTACTAAACAAACAAAAAAAGAAACGTATTGTAGAAGCAAATGTTGTCTTGATTTGCGTTGATACACAACACAAAACAGATGAATTTTGTTGGGTTGAATTAAAAAGGAGATTAAAAAGCAGTGTACAAAAGTACACTCTATACATCTGCTGTGGACAAAAACATATTGGGATGAATTCTGGGGTGAATTTAGTCCCGGATAGGAGGGTAATTGGAAGTATTAATTGCCCATATCATTAATAACTATGTTTTATAAGCTTCAGGATTGCCAGAGTTGTACATGACAAAATTAGACCAAAATATTTGTTAAATATTTCTTTTGTTTGCTAACTCTATGTCACTGCTAGATGACTGCTGTGACATCTAGCATATTTCAAAACAACAAACCTGCAAGAGTCACGCCGTGTTTTTTAGCTGGATTAGACGACATAATTAGTGTTAATGTTTAAGCCACACCTGTCGGGCTGTAATCATGTTAACACGAGCGTGTTTTTGATCCTCTATGATCTGTGTGTGATCCTCACTTCTGATCCTTTTACCAGGAATATTCTGTACAATTGGTCAATCCCATGTAAATTTAGTGAATTGCTGAAATGTTGAGACATCTTCTTTTTTGGGTTACCCAGATCAGATGACGGCGTCCCAGTCTCAGTTAGCGTGTCCAGACGGTAAAGGGGACTTGAGTAGAGAGAACACGTCTGTGGATTTCAGCAAGGTATGTTACACAAACTGTGCAGATGCGCTGTAAGTCTGTAAGTCGATTAACCGGGGATGCGACGGTCGGGCTCTCAAACGTTCTCTCTTGCTTGCTTGGCCTTTTGTTTTTAGAAGTAACCTCTTTAAATGTGCATGTGGCAACTATTCCCTACATTCATACACCAATCGCAGCTGCACCCGTTGGACCCCACTCACCCCAGACAGATAAAGGGTGAAGAAGTAAGGCACATTTTTTAAATAAACAGGAAGCTCTTACTTGGAATAAGTATTTTCATTTTATTCTACTTTCAACTTCTCCTTTACGTGTCAGAGGGAGACTAATCACAGCCATAGTTACTAGTTAATTCTTAAGTAGGATTTTCATGCAAAACGTGTCCTCATCTTAGAAAATACAACACATTGTTGTAGATGAACGTAACGTAATAAAGATGCTGTCTACAAATTACAATACTTGAAATATAGAAATCACATGGGCCGTTTTTGTTTTCGGTTGACTTTTGATACTTTAAGTTTCATTTTGTTTATAGTAATAATAAGATAATGCTGGTATTTCACTTCACAATTTAGTATATTCATATTTTTTGCTTCTTATGTAAAGGGTTTTGAATGCGTATTGTATTGTCGAGCTTTCAGGATACTTTCGAAATTGTGTGACATTATCAAAAATGTACCACCTACTAAAAGTACCTGATATTCTCCAATAAGAGCTGGCTGTAATTGTGCCTTTCGAACCACAGACAGGAGGTCATTGTTGGTATTCTTAATGGAAGGCCATCTAGTTAAGGATTAGGATTATAACCATAATCACAAAATCAGTGTTGAAGCCTCTTGCATAATGTATAGGAATTTAACCTTTCGTCGGGTCGATATTATTAACCAATTCATGTCCGTTCTACTGTGGGACGTTAATGCAACGTGCTCTGCTTTTATGGAGTGTATTTTTAGAATATTTCTCCCTCATCACCCACCTTATATATTTACACGGCAGCTGTCAAAGCAGCTGCATATCATCTTACATGTTGTTATTTATCAAAATAATCAGTACTAACTGTGAGCATTTAACAAGCATCCCTATGGCAGTCTTTATGGAAGTCCTGACCCATCAGTACAGCACAGATGTTCTGTTAGATGGTTCTGGACAGCCTCCCAAAAGCCACATGAACTCTGCGAAAGAGAACAAACAACACTCCAGTCAACACTTGTCTCCTCATAATTATCGCTGAAAAATCAACACCTTTAATATTGCAGAATTTCCTCTACAATGCAGTTTCACTGCATTAAAGAGTGTAAAGCAGATTTAGCCACTCTAAAAGGATCACTCCCATATCCGGGGTCAGGTTTTATACACTTTTAGGAACCTGAAAGGAAATTTATCCTTATGAATTATTATGCAACATTAAACTATCGTTTTTTGTAAAAACTGTGACTAGAATCCAGTCAAACCATTTGCTTTGGGGCCTAATGTGAGGATGTACAGCACAATTATGATTCATTTTCTGCTCACAGTCAGAGTAGCTCAGATGATGATGCAATCGAAAAGGGTGCCGCGGCCTTTTTGTGTTATTATTTGTATTAATTTCTAAAAACTACGCAATATGTCCTCTTTCAGATAGACCTTCATTTCATGAAGAAGATCCCAGCGGGGGCCGAGGCGTGTAACGTGTTAGTGGGAGAGCTGGAGTCTCTGAACAAGCCGGTGGTTGCGTTTGTCCGCCTTTCTCCGGCGGTCCTGCTCAGCGGCCTCGCTGAAGTCCCCATCGTCACAAGGTTACTGCGGACCGATCCTACGAAACGCTACTGCATGAATATCTTTGATCTACCCGGCTGAACCGTGAGGGGAGATTTGATTTGACAAAAAAAGTCTCTTTTGCCTTTTAGGTTTCTGTTTATTCTTTTAGGGCCCTTGGGCAGAGGGCCTCAGTATCATGAGATTGGAAGGTCCATTGCAACACTTATGACGGATGAGGTAAGAAGTCACTGAAGAACACTTCATTATTCTGCAGGGGTTATTTATTTATTAGTGTTTTTGAAGAGCATGGTTTGTTTGGAATGTCAACCAGAAGTCATACGCAGATTTTCTGCAGCCGCTTTGAATAAATTCACAGTCCGGCAGAACTCAACAATTTCTTGAAGTGATGGAACATTTCTCAGCATGAAACACAGCTCAGAGCTTTTGTGAGACGCTTTTGGCGATTAGTCAGTCCTCATGTCCTCCTTTTTGTCCGTGATTTAGGCTGCTCTCCATCTCAACCGAGGAGTTAACGATGGGCTCTGACAAAGTCCACACTTTGTTAAAATCATTTGACTCGATGATTATGCCTTTAGTAGTAGTGCTTAAAATTGACAGACAATTACGCCTTATAGTTCATAGGGCGCTCAATTCTTCCAAGTAAGTCAACTGGTCCTATGTATTTTAGGGAAGAATCGTGAATCAGTGATTGACACTAACTTGTGTCAGAGTGAGCACGTCCTCTGTTTGTGCAGTATGTCCTGCACATATTAATATGTGTATGTCAATGTGGCTGTCACAGTCAAGGATGGCAGACATTCCTGCATTTGAATGACTCTATAAACTTCACTTCACGCGCCGTGTGCATGCTTCTTGATAAATGCCGAATACAGAGGGAGTGGTGAGGCCTGCACATACAGCGTGGCACGAGCTGTGCACTCAGTGCCGCCTTCATCAACCTCCCTAATCGTACTCTCCAGGTGTTCAGCGATGTTGCTTATAAAGCAAAAGACCGAAATGATCTGATCGCTGGGATTGATGAATTCCTCGATCAGGTGACAGTCCTGCCTCCGGGAGAGTGGGACCCGTCCATACGGATAGAACCACCAAAAAACGTACCGTCTCAGGTTAGTAAGAATGGTGTTCGCGGCTCGCCTTACTTTGCTGTTGTATGATTTTCCTTGAAAAGGAACCTGACTTGCTGTTTGTTGTTTTGCATTGTTTTGTTCAACAGGAGAATAGAAAGAAATGTAAAATTTTACCAAATGGATTAGTCGAGGGCGATGAGGAAGCGGAGGAAGGAGGCCATGGGGGTCCAGAACTGCAGCGAACTGGAAGGTACAAAGTGTGAAATGAAGCTAACAGGGAATCTAATCCCTGTAGTAGAAGAGCTAAAAGATGCATCTTTAGAAATACCTAAATGCCTCATACTAAACTGGATATGCAGTGCGGCATGCAGCCCACTCACAACACTCACTATTGGAGAGAATCTATTTTGCAGTTGAACTACTCAGCCCCCGGAGCTTCACACAACACTCCCTTTATTTCTTATGTTTTCAAACATAAACGGTTGTAAAGGTATGCCAGAAGCAAAGTATGCCACTGCATTGAAATTGTTGGTTATCATACGGTGAAGGCCTTCATTTGCTTATTCAATAAGACATCAAGACATCTGTTTCAGATATTCTGTTGCTCTTTACTTAGTTTGGTTAAAGCATTTGCTTTTCATATGTTGCCTGGAATGCAGACAGACCTCTAAAAAATATCACTTTTCCAAATAATCTACTGTAATGCTGATCATCTATTTTTGTGTAAACTCTTTCTGTATTTGTAGTCGTAATGTGGTTTCCATAGAAACATCCTGTTCGTCAGCCTGCCTTGCAGACTGTTGAACAGGAAAAACAAGTAGATTAAAAAGAAAAAATAACAATAGTTTTAGCACATTTGTGTAACGTCATTAGACCTTTGAAAAGAAAATGTTCACATGCACATGAATACAGCATACAAGAGACAAATATCCTTTCTTTATTTCCAGGTGGTTTGGTGGTCTTTTCCTGGACATCAAGCGCAAGGCGCCCCACTACCTGTCCGACTACACTGACGCTTTTAGTTTACAGTGTGTGGCCTCTTTCCTATTTCTCTACTGTGCCTGCATGTCTCCTGTGATCACCTTTGGAGGGCTGCTGGGCGAGGCAACGGAAGGACGCATAGTAAGTCACAAGCCCTTTCCTCTAAATGTTCACAGTGTTCTGCCAAGACAAACTGTCCACTGCAGTAGTTGCTCAATATAATAACGATTTTTGAAGTAACCAGCCACCAATAATCTCTTTGTCCTTTTCCATTTCCCAGAGTGCAATTGAGTCACTTTTTGGAGCCTCACTGACTGGAATAGCCTATTCTCTGTTTGCCGGGCAGCCCTTAACCATTCTGGGCAGCACTGGGCCGGTGCTTGTTTTTGAAAAGATATTGTTCAAATTCTGCAAGTATGTCTTTTTTTCTGTGACCGTACTCAGACATTATCTTTGTAAGGTATACTGTTCATTTAATCCATACATTGTGATTAAATCAAATCATGAGTAACCCATTTCTCTCACATTTTTATTCCCGTTGGAGCATTACAAATTTCATTTCATTGTGATAACGAATCATTCTGATCTCTAATCTGACGGATTGTTTCCCCCTTTACTGCACATAGGGAGTATGACCTGTCCTACCTGTCTCTGAGAACCTGCATTGGTCTCTGGACTGCGGTCCTCTGCATCATTCTGGTGGCTACAGATGCCAGCTCCCTCGTTTGTTACATCACGCGTTTTACAGAGGAAGCCTTCGCCTCACTCATCTGCATCATCTTCATCTACGAGGCCTTGGAGAAACTTGTCCACCTGGGAGACCACTATCCCTTTAACAAGAACAACAACCTCGACAGGCTCACCATGTACTCGTACGTGGACACTTATTCTCACACACTATCCTGTGTAACTACTGTTTAAATGTCTTGGAGGTAACTGTAAATCCCTGACAGATGAGGGATTATTCAGTCACCCAGATGTTCATTTGCCTCCACAGATGTTCATGCGTTGAGCCTTCTGACCCCACCAATGCCACCCTGAAGTATTGGGAGAGCACCAACGTCACTGCCTCAGAAATCTACTGGGAGGCACTGGAGACCAAGGTGCTTCCAAAGCTGATCAGGATGAGATTAAAAAAACAAAAAATCAATTACTCGTGGGGGTTTAATATGCAAACCATAGCTGGAAATATTGTGCAACTGAAAGACAAATTGAAAATAATACTGCTCATTTAAGTTTTCCACCTTAAATTGGCATCCCCACCCAGATGTAGGAGACTGAGCAGAAGAGATTAAGGGCATGTTGGCTGGATTATATTGGATTACTCATCTGATTTGCGATGAGTAATTCTCATAAAAGCACATATTTTTGGTGGCTGATAAACTGCATTTATGGAAACCTACAATTTGCTGAATACTCTGTTTTGTTAATCAAATGATTACTATGAATTACTGACCCTCTATCTGTCTTTGCAGGATTGTATTGAAAAGCGCGGGGAGTTTGTGGGCACCGCCTGCAGCCCCACTGGACCATACGTCCCCGATGTCCTCTTCTGGTGTGTCCTTCTCTTCTTTTCCACCGTCATCATGTCCGCCTTCCTTAAAGAGTTCAAGTTCAGCAATTACTTTCCCACAAAGGTAGATATTTTCACACATTGTGACATTATGATCCAAAGCATGACCGTGAAGCTCCTGCAGAAGGATACTAACATAGTACAGTAGTGCCCTCTAGTGGTCAAGTAAACATACTGCAAAACGGAATTAGAATTGATGTGCACTTAACTTAATGTAACCAATGTTTGTATTTATACTGAGTGAAGTATATGAAACAGATTTTTCCTCTCCATTAGGTGAGATCCATCATCAGCGACTTTGCAGTTTGCCTCACCATCCTAACCATGGTCTTGGTTGACAACGCTTTAGGAATCCCCTCGCCAAAGCTAAAGGTTCCGAGTGTGTTTAAGGTGAGCTAGTCCACAAATCACAAGTTACAAAATAATGTGGAGCCAACAACAATCTTTTTTTTTTTTTCTTCTTTTTTTTTATCAGCCAACCAGAGATGATAGAGGTTGGTTCATTAACCCTCTAGGGCCCAACCCCTGGTGGACCACAATCATCACCGTGTTCCCAGCCCTGCTGTGCACCATCCTCATCTTCATGGACCAGCAGATCACAGCTGTCATTATCAATAGGAAGGAACACAAACTCAAAGTACTTTCCCCGTCCCTGCGTTGAACCCGTGTTGCCTTGGTCACTTTAATTCAGCAGTGTTTGAACACGGTTCCAAATTTCAACTTGATTCACTGGTGCTTTCCCCTTGTCCAGAAAGGCTGCGGGTACCACTTGGACCTGTTCATGGTGGGGGTGATGCTGGGCGTGTGCTCTTTGATGGGCTTGCCCTGGTTCGTAGCAGCCACCGTCCTCTCCATAAGTCACGTTAACAGCCTGAAGCTGGAGTCCGAGTGCTCGGCCCCCGGGGAGCAGCCCAAGTTCCTCGGCATCAGAGAGCAGCGCTTTACCGGCCTCATGATCTTCACCCTCATGGGCTGCTCCGTCTTCATGACATCCGTGCTGAAGGTCACTGTCTTTTAATATTTGTGCATATCTGTATCCTTTGTGCAATTATTCTTCTAGTATTATTCAGTGGGACTTAAAGTATACCTCTGTGATTGTTCCACATAATGACATTTAATATGTCTTACTGATTGCAGCAGTTACAGGCATTTATCATTTTATTAACGACATAATCCTTTTGTTATCCTTCAGTTCATTCCTATGCCTGTACTGTATGGAGTATTCCTTTACATGGGGGCTTCTTCTCTCAGAGGCATTCAGGTAAAATCGTTTGAAGTGCGCCGTGTTTAATCTTTCTTTGCTCGAATAATGTATCGCAACACGAGGAACCACAAAGATACGATCCTTGTTTTATTTGACAGTTGAAATGAGCTACTCTGACTGGACAAAACATTACACGTTGAAGAATAATTCCATCGCACACATATTAGCAAAGCTTTTTAGTCTTAATAATGACATCAGGCATCATCACCTGTGAAAAATGTCCCCGTTAGATAATCTGCACGATGACATTACACAGACAGTTGGCCAATGTGGTTAAATTTTAATTTGTAGAATCTTCCACCGGCTAATCTTTGTAGATGGTTTATTCTCACTCAGCCATAATAAGGGAGCGCCTCCATATTGTCTGGCTGCCCGGAGAAAAAGTGTTAATTGGCCTCTAGTGTGTTCCCAGCATTTACTGAACACCTGGCTGTTATTTAATTGCCCTGTTTAATTCTGTTTTTTCTCTTCACTTTCAAGTACTCTCTATTATTGGTTATGAAAACTATAATTATATTTCTTATTATATCATTAGAATAAAAAGGTGCTACGTCTGAAGGTGTTCTACACATATAAATATAAATCTTTTATCCTGTATTGTCTCCAGTTCTTTGATCGTCTCCGGCTGTTTGGCATGCCAGCCAAGCACCAGCCGGACTTCATCTATCTCCGCCACGTGCCCCTGAGGAAGGTGCACCTCTTCACCATCATCCAGCTCAGCTGTTTGGTTCTGCTCTGGGTCATCAAGACCTCCAAAGCGGCGATTGTCTTTCCCATGATGGTATATAAACAATCCACTTTTTGCATCTTCAGTGCGATGACAGAAGCAGCAGACCTTTTGTCACACATGTAATACTTAGTGTTGAGAAGACTGTGAGAGTATAGAAGTTTCACTCGGGTAGCTCCAACCTACAGAGTGATGAATTTGGAAGTTATTGGACTGGATACAAAATTATACGTTTTAATTTGAAAGGTGTTTTGAGTTTCTCTGGTCAAAATTGTAGTTTTAATTGTAAAAAATGAATTAGCTTCATCAAAAAAATGACATAATGCCAAAGACATGTGTACATTGTTGGGATGAAAATGAGCATTCTTACCTTCCTTACAGAAGCAGTTCAGTTCTCGTGAGAGGGGGAAGAAGTAGAGTCACACATACGTCACAGGCTACGTCTTTGTTTATGATATTAAACTAGAAGTTGCCCCCTATTTGATGTGAAGAACACAGCTACGTTTTCACATATTTTGTCGTGTGCATTTCTTCCTCTACATCTATTAGTTAAATTACATTTAAATGGATTTGTTCTTCATAGCTTCTTTCTACACCACTACTTAACACAGCACAGCGGACTCCTCTACTAGGACATACATTTATTTTAAATCAGAGGTTTTTTTCCCGCAGGTGTTGGCTCTGGTGTTTATCAGGAAGCTGTTGGACTGTTTCTTTAGCAAGAGAGAGATGAGCTGGCTGGATGACCTCATGCCAGAGAGCAAGAAGAAGAAGATAGAGGATGCTGAAGAGGTGCTGTTTGATATCATGAACGAATTACTACGTAACACGGCATGCACGTCGATTTCATTTAATCAGATTAAAATGTTCCTGCATTTATCTTCCTCGGCCCTCAGGAGGAGGAGCAGAGTATTCTGGCAGAAGACGAGGGAATTGTGCAAGTGCCATTACAAGAGAACAAGTAAGTTATTTCACTTGCAATCTTACAAGCAACATTTACAAAATTCCAGTACTGTATATTTTAATCTAATTATTAACGATGAGAGTGTGGAATCTCTTTCACAGGGGAATACCCATCATCAATATTACAGATGAAATATCTAAAGGGTCTTTTGGAAATACATGGACTGCCAACAGCTAAGATGTTTTTGAAAGACTCAAGACCTCAAAACATTATGGTAAGAGTTTTTGCATTGTTGAATACACCAAAAGTTTACAGTTGGTTTGCAAAGAAAATACAAAACATGAAGGTTATTTGTGTGAAATGCAAAAGCATTTTGAAAATACAAACAAAATAATCGTATGCACTTTTAGCTTCATCATAATTAAGTCTCCACTTTGTGGGGACTAATAAGCTGTGATTCAAATACAGTGAGGACGTAGTGCTACACAACATTTACAATGTCACCTGCCATCAGATCATCACAGGAACTCATTACATGAGAGCAGAGCAAAGATCAGATACGTCCTTTTTATTTAACTCCAGTACAGACTGCAATGTTTAGTTTAGCTGTTTAGGCATTTTGACAGCCATAAGGCGTTTAACATTTAGGTCCACCAGCCGGTAAGCTAATAAATATCACCTAATTGCATCTCTGTGTTTTCTTTCTTGATTCTCAGTTTCAATACTACGTGTTTCACAATGCTTGTGTGCATGATGAGAAATGTAAGATGCAGAAAATTGAGGAGAGTGTTGTGAGTCTCTATCGCCGGTTCGTCTGTGTGCTCATAAATAAATCTGTATTGTAATCAATCCTTGTGTGTAGTCTTGTTGTGCGTTAAGTGAATGACTCTGTTATCTGATGTGTTGCAAATATTCTGCCTCTGCAATGATGATCCAATGAAACCTTCTATTTCGTCTGTTGTACTTTTTATTTCTAGAAACTGTTTTACTGCACCAAATGTTAACCTCTGTCTTGCTAATAGATTTTGATAATGGATACATTTGTATTCATTCTGTTTAATACTTTTGATTTTAAAATATAATAATATTAACATTCAGCATGTCCCGTTTGCATTGAGATTTTATTTCGAGGACGCCATTTTAAGTTTCTAATAATGGCGATAATTTACAGGAATGAGTGCTTTGATGTATTTAACATTGATTCAAATACAAGATATTTTCTGCTACATTATTTATCTATATTTATTTTGTGTAATAAAATGTTTGCAAGATAATACATTGCATTCCTACAGAGAGTTACAGTATTTTGCCTCTAGGTGTCAGTGTATTGCTTGTGTTATAAATGTACATTTAAATAATCTCATTATTTGTTTTAATGTTTGTATAGTTTAGGGAATCATGAATTGAAAAGCATCAAAGTCAGAGATGCAATTTTGTGATGTATCCGAGGATTCAAATGAAGCTGTAATACTGTTATTTAAAAAAATGTGATGGGTTTATGTTATTTTAAAAGAACGAGCAATGTGCTTATTTTTAAAAATACTTTTGAAACACAATTTTATTATTTGTATCTTCTCAATGTTATCTTACCTTAATAAATTTCTTTGAGCACCCTTTGTCTCCTTATTGTCACAGACGCAATCTTAATGATAACTTATCCTCTATGTATGAATTCCTTCCAACATTGTAAAGTCACAATGAAGTTGTTAGTTATTTATCAACATTTAACGGCTAATTAAATCATACGAGCTCATAACTGCATGAATGCAGTTACATAAAAAAGACCATTCGAGCATGTATTTAGTTACAGAATATAACTTCACTTGCCTGCAGTGAATATCATTAATAATCTACTATGACTGCTACTGACAGGTTAGTTATGTGACCTCATATGTAAAGAACTGATGAAGAAACCTTCAACACTTCTTTCCACAACAACAAGCCTGGCTTCTAAATGCTGAATGAAGGCTGTTGGCTCATGCAGCGTGCAGATGTAGATGCAAACTGCCAGTTTAATGTAACAGCTGTTGTTTTCAGAGATGCTGATCAAACCTCAAATGGTAACTAGAATATTCTAATTTGATGGCATGAAGATAACGCATGATGTAACTGAAGCGCTTTTCCCCAAAAAATTAAGTCAAGAGGTACAATTCTATAAATTGTAATACATTATATAAGACAATAATGCATGAACTCATAACATTGTTTAAAGGCGTGGGTTCTCTCCCCGGCGTCCTCCCACAGAGCGAAGACATGCAGGTCAGGTCAATTGGTGACTCTTAAATTGCCCGTAAAGGTGTGTGAATGGGAGAGTGAATGATTGTCTGTCTCTGCGTCAGCTCTGTGATTGACAGGCGCCTGGTCCAGGGTTTACCCCCGTCTCTCACCCCAATGCCAGCGGAGATCCCCCCACTGTCCCCTCCGAAGGATGTGCGGTGTAGAAGATGACTGACATGACTGATGACGTTGTAAAGGTGAGAAACAGGACACAGCGTAATGCATGAAATCATCTCTAGTCGTTCAATAGTTATGTGTTAAGTGTTTCAGAAACTGTCGCCTTGCTTGAGCCGTAACAACAAAACCTTTAATTTTAGACTGGGGGGAAGCCTCCTTTAGGCTCAAATCACACATCAGACTGTCAAATAATTAAGTGGCAGCACATGCTTGGTCACACACTGTATTGACGCAATTCCTGCATGGGGGATGACAGGATGGAAACTTCCAATATCGCTGCTGCCAAGCGTTAATGTAGAAACCCTCAGAGATTTGGCCTACAAATAGACTCAAGTGGGCAGAGGTTCTCGCAATCAACAGCTGGTTTTGATGTGCGGTGGATGACAGCTTAGAGCGGGGGCACATCCCAAAGCATGTCAAGCTGCTGGCTCGTGCGAATTCCTGTTTTGCCGTCAGCCGCCCGGAGGAACTCGAGGGTGTCGACCCAGTCGTTGTTCCCAACGAGCCTGAGCTGATTGACGTGATTTTCGCGCTGTTTCATTTGGCGTTTGGCCCTCCTTGGTGTGCTGTCAGAGCATCACTGGGTGATCCTGCTCCGGTTGAACAGCTGACGGGCGATACCCGTCATCCTGTATACCTGGCGGAAAACCCAAAGCACATCTCTCCCGGGAGAGAGACGTATTTATGGATTGTTCTGCCGGATGAAGACAGTAGTTTAGATATTGCCATTTACCAATCAACCGTTTTCTTTAAAACAACTGTTGATGTTTGATGATGACATGTTTTGATAACAGGTGGATCCTTAAACTTAGTCTTCATGTACTCTGAAATAATGTGTGTAGATGTACATGTACACACTCAAATGTAGATCCTTGCCAAGGAGGGTGTTTGTTGTCAAACCCATATTTAAAGCGATTCCAACAGTGAACTCATTGATTGTACACATTTCTTTATTGAAAACTAAATAGGACTTTTATCAGAATATTAATAAAAGGCATTGAGAGTATCTACAGATTTAATTAGCCAAGTTGCATTTGGATCAATATTGTGATTGGAACATATTGTTACAGATTTTATGTGAGAATGAAGACGAAAAATGCCAAAAACTGAAACAAACAATTATGGTGCAAGTGCTCGATGAATTAAAATAGTCACACAGCATTTACGAGCGAGACTCATTTCAAACATACTGTTCCATTTGGCATTTTGACAACATCTCCTTCAACCACTGAAGGCGGACAGAGCTTCTCATTACGGGAATTTAAGAGCACGACCAGGAAAAAAAACTCTAGTACAGTTTGTGAAACATATAAAAGCACGGAGTCGGTCTGGATCGTTGCATTATCCAAGGAGCCGTCGGTCAGGTTTACTCCCTTCTGCCTCGGCCAGTCTTCAACCAAGACACAAACTCCTTGACCGCTTGGTCCTGCAGGTACGAGCTCACGTCGCTGGTGTAGGTGCCGTCTGCGTGCCGTCTAAACAGGCTCCTGCAGAGACACAAACAACGTTTATACGACTGCGTTGTCGGATCCGACAGCACATGATTTCAAGTGCGGTGAAAGTAAGACTTGTGTTTCCCCAGGTAAAGTAGAGACTTGAGCTATGTTTCATATAATTGATGCTGGTGCCACCAAGTGATCCAGTAAGCAAAGGGCCACACTCACCCGTTTCTTTTTGAGTTCTTTAGCCACTGGACAAAATCTTGTGCTCTTCTCGTCTCCAGGTATTTACTGTAGTCGTTGGAAAACGTCCCCTCCGAATGTCTCTTCATGTTTGGGAGCTGAATGGGTTCGGCCACCATGGAATCTTCAGCCAACAGACTGGAAATTATGGAGCAAATAAAGCTTTAGTTGACATAATCTCTTTGTCATATAAATGTATACGGCTACCATCCCTTCGCTTTTCTCTCTGTCCTCTCTCTGTCTTCTGTTGCCCCCCCCGAGGGAGTTTAACTTGCTGGTCTTCCTCACACCACAACTGCATCCCTCTCACGCACCAATAACTACTCTTACGCTTCTGAATAGTAGTCATATCTGTGAAATCGAATCTTCAAAAAGAGTAGACCGTGCAATACTTTTGAGAAATTGAGAAAGCAGCAGGAAGCACTGCAGGGGACACCAAGATATAACTAAAATAAATATTAAAATTCTAAGAAGAAAATAGGGCTAAAAGCAAGGCATTCAAATAAAACATAAACTCATTATATCACACAACTCCCCTAAAAGCTCTACTACCGGTATTCTTGTTAAAAAACTAAATTGATGATATCATTTTCCTCTTATGACAATGGCTGATACTAAGTAACGCTGTCAGTGGACAAGCAGTCACACTAGTTCTTCCTTTAGATATGTTTAGCTATTTTAACCTAAAAACAAACACACAAATAAAGATTATACGAATAGAAAATTGATTAAAAAGTGGTAGAGCTTTTCTGCTGTAACACCCTGAGCCATCGATTTTAGTTTAGTTTGTTGCTCTCAAAAGGATTTGCTGCATATTTCTGCAGCTCAGGATGGTGCAAACAAACCCTCAAGGGCGAGACGTTTGTAATCCTTTCATAAAGGATCTTTGATCAGGGAGCTTTTTAGGCCAACGGGTGAGACATAGGTGAGAGCTGGTCTTACGTGGGGTTTCGCTCCGCGTCCTGGCCCGGCAACTGCCAGCTGCTTTGGATCACGATGAGGAGCAGGACTCCTGCCAAAGAGTGAGCGCTTTTCATTGTGTGAGCCTCTGAGAGATGAGCAGAGAAAGACACGATTTGAATGCCGAAGGACGTACGTCAAATGTCACGCAGACGTGTACAAATTTGAAAGAAGGAAGGTACAAAAATTCTCACCTGTGGTCCTTGCTGTCAAGCGTCTGAGAAGGATTGTAAAGTGCGTTGATTGGTGCCCTTCTTCCCTCCGAAGCGGTTTCTTGGTCCCCTCTTGATCTGCCCAGCCCTTATATAGTGGAGCTGAGGAGCATTCTCCCAGGTGACTCCCCCGTCACTGAAACATCAGCATCCCCTGTTACTCTCAACCCATTAGTCAGCTTCCATCTCAGTCCACTGAATGTATTTGACTTTGTTTAAGGCAATCGGGGTGGTAAAAGCCGCCACTTTGGGTGTTGCAAGACCTGCACCCTGACAAATATGACACTAACACTGGCATCCATGTACATTTACATAAGTAAGCTTGGAAAAATGTGTTGAGAAAGACAACATGTGCGTAACTTTATTCTTCTTAATCGTGTGGGAAGGTTATCTGGACTAAAAATATACAAATAACCAGTTTCATTTTAAAACAATATTTATTCATCAGAACATGACTGCTACACACATAACACGCAACAAATCAGTGCCGTACAATTTATCGATATAAGGTCATAAAAGAAGAAGAAGTTTTCAAACATAAATGCATGCAATGGCTTTTAGAATGTTTTGAATGTCACATATTTTGACTAAGGATCCCTAAATCCACATAAAATACAAATACTCATTTGTACAAGAATTCAGCATATATTGAACATAAAACCACATAAACAAATACAACAACCTCACACTTACACAAATACATGGCAAATACACAAATTTAGAAAAAGATAGTGTCACATTCTTCACATTTACTTGGGATGAACGAGGCATTTCTGCAGGAAGTGGCTCATTAGTGTGTACGTATGATAAAAGGCTGATCCTGTGAGAGCGTGGTCCTTGTCTGTGTACCACTGAAACGAATGCCACATTCACATTAGTGCCTCGCTTCTGAAGTATAATATCATATTATCCGTTTTAAACTATATATTTTAGACTGTGCATAATAAGACGCGGCCATTTTCTTCCCCGTTTGAAACTTTCATTAAATCAACACCATCAAGGCCAATATTAGTCCCACTTCCCTGAGCCAATATTTACCATCGCCTCAAAGTCCACTTGCACGTTGACCAGAGCTTTGGAGATCTGTGCCGCCTGCTGGAAATGGACATTGTCTATAGGAAAGACATTGTTTTCGCTATGTGAATGGACATCAACACTCAAGGCAAACAGGGTCCATTAGTGAAAGGCTTTACTGTGTTACCTAGTACACTGTTGGGAAATAGGGCAACAACATGCTCAACAACTGGCAATGAGAGTATTTTGATGAAACGTACCATCTGCTGTGCCGTGAACCAACAGATAGTC